AAATAAATAAATAAATAAATAAATAAATACCCATGGAATTGGAGCATAGTTGAACATGGACATTCAGTGTCAGGACAGCCAATTTCAACAGAGAAGAGCTAGATGAGATCCCACAGACAGAGATTCTCAGGTCAAAAGGAGCACAGGAGAACTGGGAACACCTCTCAACCAAATACTGGAAGTACAATTTATACCATTCCAGTGAGAAGGAAAAATGGGGAATATTTTAGGAAACCATTGTGGATGCATTGGGAAGTATTTTCTAATTTTAAGAGCTGTTCACCAGTAGAACAGGAAGTGGTGGACTCTTCTTTGCTGGTATTTAAGCAGAGGTTAGATAGCCATCTGACAGGGAAGCTATAGTAGTGGACCCCTCCACTGGGTGGGGCGTTAGACTAAATGTCCTGTGTGATCCTGTCTAACTCTTCCATTCTGTTATTCTGTTCATTGCTTCAAACAAAGCAGTAGTTGTGACCTTGTGCACAGATATTCTGTAGATCTTTTTATAGTTTTTCTTTAAAAATGCTGCAATTCTGGAATTACAAAACTTTCCTAGAATTCTTTACTTCTAATTGAGTCTTATCATATTAACAATATTCTTATGGTTTCTAACAATGAAATAGCTTTTCAAGTGATTTGAATGTTCTGTTATGTTGTAACTGCTGTGATTGGGAATTGTCTTGACTCCTGTAGTTGGGATGATTTCTTTTGAATTCTCTTATCTAAGTTAATACAACAAGAGGGACTGGTTATGGTTTTGACTTGGAGTGGACAGGATGGTATTGGTCTGGATGAAGTTACTGAGTGTAGCAGCAGGCCTTTTAAGGAGCTCAGGGGACAGAGAAGTCATGCTGTTGGAGAAACAGTGACTAGGGAGCAAGCTACAGAAAAAGAAATTTCTATGAGAAGCTTTGGCTTGAATGCTGGACCAGTGCTTCTGCTGGAAGGATGGTGATCATTGGTAAGCATCTGATTGCCTCTTTGTTTACTTTGAGGCAGCCTCCACACCTAGTCCCATTTTGTGGTTTTGTTTAGTTTGTTCTGATTTATTCTTTACATCCCATCACGCAGTACAGTCTATTTCAGAGAAAGACAAAAAAAAATTGTTTTAACCTCTGAGCAAGTATGTTCTGCTTCATAATGTGATGTCTTGAGTGTTGGTTGAAATGTATTCTTATGGCTTCAAATCATAGTGGCATTATTGGGGGTGGGTCTGTCCATTTGTTATTTTGAAATCCCATGTAATCACTGCCACTCTTTGGGTTAAAGAATCAGAGGAAAGCCCATGGTCTTCTGCCATGATTTCAAGTTATTGTTCCTGCCTGTCTGGTTCTGGTTCTAGGAATCAGTGCCTTACTGTTTTTAGAGAAAACCATAATTTCTCAGGAATTCTATAATTTTGTTTTTGTTTTATATTTTAAAAGTGGAATGCAAGAAATTTGGTTTCAGATTATTTGAATTCGTTCTTTCACTTTGTATTTGTCAGCTGATAGGTTGTAACTGTTCTCATGATTACATTGGTACGTTGAATATTTCAGATGTCCGGGCTGCAAGAGACCAAATTAATATTGCAGCAATTCCATATCCTGCAATGCCTTTACAAGATGCAGCTCCTAGAGCATCATCAGTATTTAGTCAGCCATCATCAGCCTGCTCTTCAACCCATTCTTTTAATGGACCTTTCAATGGAGGAGTTGTATCACCACAGCCTCACAGCAGCTACTACAGTGGAATGACAGGACCTCAGCATCCATTTTATAACAGAGTAAGTAGCAGTTTAAAATTTGCACTGAGTTTTATTTAGTTTGGGTGTCATACCTGGTCAAAAATCCTATACCGTAGCAGAAGAAAGCCAGTGACAATGATAGCCATCTACTGTTTTATTATATGTACTTGGTAAACTATAACCATAGTACATGTATGTGAAGAAATTAATATTTTCATATTGGCAATAGGCAATTAAATGAACCAAAGTTTAAGATCTGCAGGTTTAATTAGCCTGCAGAAAAGAAGTCCTCTTTAACTTAAAGTCAAGCATAGGTTAAAGTAATTATTCAATTGTCCGTGTACATAAGTATGGACTCATGATACTTGTTGAAGTGCCATGAGCTTTCTTAACAGCTCAAAATGTTGCCTATGTAATATATTAAAATATTTAAAAAATGGATTGAACAAAATTATTATTTTGAACAATTCAGCTGCCTGATTCAAATGAATTAGAAATTAACAAGCATGCACACTGTTCATTCATTCTTTTCAAGGTGTAAGCAGTCAGACTAGGAAGTCTCTATGACTTTCTGTTTTATCTGACAACAGTTAAAGGTTTTCATACCTTTTGAACATACAATGTATTAAGTTTCAGATTGTGACATAATATACTTGTTTCTCAGTAACTGGCAATCATCATTTTAATTTCTTTTTGATGAATTGAAGGGCTTCCTGGATTGATTGCTTATTCTCTGAAAGGAAGAATGAAGAGTTGTATGCATGGACAAAAGGTTACTTGTATCTTAACATTTATTGAGATGCAAATTCCATCTTTTTTGTCAGCTTGTATTAACTTCTAATGCAATCTAAATTGTATTTATTTCTAATGCAATCTAAATTAAAGCTGCAGTCCTGTACTCACTTACCTATGAGTAAGACCTATTAAATTCAAGCAGGACTTACTTCTGAGATGATATCAATAGAATCACACTTTTAAATTCAGGTATTTTACTATGTCAGTCCAGATTCAAATAATAATTTTCAAGATAGCTTAATTTTTAAAAGAGTATACCAGATTTGTTGAAATTTTATCTAATGAGGATTGAAATACAGTTCTGAAATTGGTGTAAAAATAAAACACACATTACTGTATGGAGTCACACTTTATAAGAGATCTTGTGAAATGATTCCGAGGTATTTAATCATGGTCTCCTAGTCAGGTTTGCTCCTTGAGATAATGCTACCATTGGAAAGGAACCGAAATGATTTATATTATTATGCTGCTTTTTGGCAGTTCTAAAGTGCGTTAATAGTTCTCCATTGAAGCTATGTACATGTTATCATTCATTACAAAAATGTTTCATTACTTTAATGTTTGTCTGTCATTGAACCTATATGGAACTTTCCTGTTGATTTCAAATGGGGTAATTATTTCACATTTTGATCATTTCAAAATAAGACTGCTTAATTATCCAAGGAACTAAAATTTTATGTTTTACATTTTTAAATTAGTAGCATTTGTTGAATTAAGTTCTTTTGATTTTGTAATGGTCCCTTTTTGTTACATGTTTCTTTCCATAGCCATTCTTTGCCCCATATGTTTACATGCCAAGGTATTACCCTGGCAATTCTCATCTCACCTCCCGTCCATCACTAAAATCGAATTTGTCCAGGGAACAAAGCAATGGTCTAGTAAGTATCTTGTAAAGTAAATGAACATGCTAATTTACATGATAAGATTAGTAAGTAATACAAGAATAGATATGTTTAATCATGGCACATGTATGCCTAAGGCTAAGATGGTACAGTGTATCTTGTTCCACTTTTTAAACATTTGTATATTTAGGTTTCATTTCCTATACTAAAATTGATATATTTCAAACATAAGAAAAATAAAGGATTATTTTTAGGTTAGTGTTAGTAAATTAGTAACTGTAAAGACAAACTGTTGAGTGAACAATTGTATATTATGTTTAAATCAGATAATGGAGTTTATTTCTAGTTTGGTTGAAGCAGAATTTTAATTATGTCAGGTTAAAAATTGAGCCTTATGCACATTTTCATAATTGTGCCATACTTTGGTACATTTAATTTTTTTTTAACAGGAACTTATCTCAGCAGCTTGTCCCTGGCTGGGCTGTGAAGCTAAGCAAGATCAGGCCTGAATAGTACTACTTGGATGGAAGGGTATCACAGAAATGTAGGTTAGACTAGAGATCAGAAATGTCCCAGAAGGAGACAGTGGCAACCTGTAGCCATACTATTGCCAAGGAGGCTGCATTTCCATGAAGTCACCAGGAGTCAAGATGACTCAGAGGAGACTTTTCCTTACCTCCACAGGAACTCATATTGAACCAACTGTTGTTCAAAAAGAAATAAGAAATATTAAAAAAAATAATTAAGGATGATTTTAGGGCAATGTTATACAGAGACTTTTATACTCTGTTTTAAAATTAATCCAAACGAGAGATAATCAACTCAAGGCCTGTGGGCCACAGGTGACATACAGACAGACAGACATGTTACTTTGGGAAGAGATGTTCTTCCTAACATGGACATGACATTATGCTCACATGTCCCCCCTCTTTTCCCTCACCTATTTATAGACAAATAGTGGTTTGCACAAAACATGGTTTCTCCCATTCAGATGTAATAGCAAGTTGTGGTTTATTGTTAAACTAAAAAGTTAAATGGGGAATTGACATGAACATAGGAAAGAGGGAGAAGAAGAGAAAATACAAGCAAATAGAGTAATAGTGCAGGGTTGCTTCTAGGCCAGTTTAGCTCTTCTGTTCTTAACCCTGTTTTCAAAACAGTCTCTGTAGGGAATGATACATTCTTTGATACCTCTTCATCCATTGTTCTTTATTTTACTTTTATTTGTGTGTGTGTGTGTGTGTGTGTGTGTGTCATCATTTTGTCCAAGTCATAATGGTTTGTTGTTGTTGTTAGGATGTTATCAAGGAGGATGTTGATGAGTGGCTTCCTACACCCACAGACCCCTCAATGGTAAAAGAGTAGTCATGTGGTGTGGAACTTTAGCATCTCATTGCTTCTTCAACAATAATGAGTTTGCTTTAATTATAACTGCAGTTCACTAACTCTGCATCAGTGGCTTGATGGGCAAATAGTATAGATGAAGACTAATAAGCATAGTTTGTGAATGAATCAGCTAATATCCTGCTTATAAAATTTATTATTTGCATTTTCCATGCTACCCTTCAATAGTCTGTCAAGGAAAGCATTTTTTAGTAACAAAGTGGTTACAACTTCATTAGTAGGGTTTTTTTGGGTCATGAAAAGTATTTGATATATCTAGGTTTATTTTATCAAACAATTTGTATACTACTGAACTTCTAACACTCTGGGCAGTTTACAGTTACCATGACATACCATCATACTGTAAAGTAAAAGTTATTAGCTATTCAGTTCTGCAGAAGTGACTGGCTGATGACTTCTCTAAATGATTTGGTCAAATAAAACTTGTGCTTTTTCAGCTACACCGGGGCATGAAGTTGCTGCAGTTGACAAGCCATAAAGCTGGTTACAGGACAGTTGTAATGATGGAATATACCTCTGCTGAGCCTGCCAGAAGGCTGGCTTCACATGTTAATATTATTGTCACCCGTGGTATCCAAATGTTTTCATAGGTTATATTAAACATGAGTTTTATTTCCCATATGTCCATCTTTTCTATAAGTATTAATTTGAAATCTGGTCTATGTAGCTATTTGTAACTACATTCTTGGCATTACCTGCAAAGATCATTGACCATCCTTTTATTGGTTTTAGCCTGTGTTCTGCAACAGCTTTTTTTTTAACATGATTTTGATTTTATATTTATACATTAAATATTTCTGTTGTAAAAAGAAAGTCCTCTTTTATTACTTTCCAAACACTTCAGAGAAAATGATGATTATATCCTGCTGTGATCCCCCTCCATCATGCTCACTGCAATGCAGATGATGAGTCTCTGTAGGATTGTTAGCTAATATGTTTCAGAGACATATCCTAGTCTGTATCCCCCCGGCTTGCTTACTGTTCAGTTGACAGCAGGTTTCTCTTCTTGGGCCATGTTTGGTACAGTTCATAGGTTGCTGCATTTCTAGAGCTCTTATGCAAAAGGCAAGAATATGGCCTAATTTAATAACAAAAAATGGGGGGGTTATTATGCTTTAGGGTTGAGGAATCCACTATAATACTGCATTTGAATAGATTTGTATCTGTACAGTACAGTACAAAACTATAGTGACATATAGTTTTATTGCTATAACATAAGACAGTTTATTTCTATTGAGAATGGGTCCATTTCATAGATGAGCTCATAATGCTAATAGAAATATACTATGAATTATATTCTTTAATTTTTTTTAACCAAGTTATCAACACATTTGGTGTAAGCTTTATTGTTCCAACTGATAATTTGAGAAAATGTGAGAAATCTCATGTTTCTGCTTTTTGAAGGGGGCATGGAAGCTAATTAAACTTGTAGGGTATTATCAGTGGGTTTTTGAATGTATACAGGAAATAGATTTAAAATAACCTTGAATATGTGCTTTATCAAAGTTCTACTTGCAGCAAATCCTAGATTCCTTTGTTTATACAAAACCACGATACTTTATCAATGTTGATAACAGGAAACTGGAATAAATCAAATTTATTAAATATGCTTCTGCTGCATTTTCTCATTAGAAAAAGAACATTGGTATCTAATTTATTATCAAAATAAGTGGAAGGAAAACATAAATTAAGGTAGGAATGCCTAAAATGTCGGCACTGTGTGAAAGTAAAGCATTTATTCTATATTAGAAATGGAATATTTTTCAAGTAGAAGTATAATACAAATAGACTTGGTATTATTTTTTGGCTTATTATCATTGTGCATGTAACAAGCAAAAACCATTTTGTTGTCATAAGTCCTGCAGAAATTATTCTTTGAAATAATGAGCTAAGTCACTAGATTGCAGTCGTTGAGTAATGTTGTTCTAAGTAAGAAAACTCATTGCCTCCTTCAAGTAAGATGCCGTTGGTGCATGAACTCTCCAATACAAGCTATCCTGATAATTAAGAGTAATGGGAAAGGCATAGCTGCTCTGAAAGACTGTGCTACCTGAATTGCAGTTCAGGCTTGCGATATGAAGTCAGGCCATTTTAAATGTATATTTAACATGAAAAGTTTAACATTTCTTGGAACCATGAATTTTACTATATTTATCTGAAAGTTACTGAATTTAAAATGACCTCCCTCACAAAAGGAAAAACAGACAGATAGATATACAGGTAGTCCTCGCTTAACGACCCCAATTGGGACTGGATTTTTGGTGGCTAAGTGATGCAATCATTAAGCAAATCATCACAGGACCACTTTGCTTAGCGACTGCAATCCCAGCACTCCTGGCTGCTGTCATTAAGTGAGAATTGGGGGTTGTTAAGTGGACAGAGTCCCAGGTAAGGAGCGCCGGGGTGCCTCGGGGGGGCACATGATCAAAATTCGGGCACTTGGCAGCCCACCCACACTTACGACTACAGGGGTGCTGCAGCTCCACCCACCTATCTCCCCCCAATTTATGCCCTTTTGGCTGCCCTGCACAGTGGCACTCGGTGGAGGCAGTGCTGAGGCTGGGCTGAATTTGAGACCCAAGGCCTTCAGCCATCTCAGCCAGCTGCCACTGCCCCCAGGCCTTGACTTCAGCCCCAGCGCTGCCACTGCCACTGAGAAATGCCACCCCAAGCCCCACACTGCTGGTCTTCGCCACCTCATGCCATTACCCAAGTTGCCCCTCTCGTTCCTTACCCAAGCTGTGCATCCCATACCTTCCTCAAGCCATGCATCCCATTCCTTCCCCAACCCGCACCTCTCATTCCTTCCGCAAGCCATGCCTGCCATTCCTTCCCCAAGTCGCGCCTGTCATTCCTTCCCCAAGCCATGCATCCCATACCTTCTGCAAGCCAGCACCCCTCTCTCGCAATCCTTCAGAAATCTTCTGGTCTTCCCCAGGTCTCGCGAGAATGGGATGCCAGCTTCCAGAAGGAACGAGAGGCTCTGGCTTGGGGAAGGGATGCCGGCTTGCAGAAGGTATGGGATGAGCAGTTCGGGGAAGGAACGTTAGGCGCGGCTTGGGAAGGAACAACAGACACTGCTTGGGGAAGATAAGCATTGGTGTGAAGGCCAGCGGTGTGGGGCTTGAGGCAGCGTTTCTCAGCAGCAGCAGCAGCACTGGGGCTGAAATCAAGGCCTGGGGGCAGTGGCAGCTGGCTGAGACTGCTGAAGGCCTCGGGCCTCTACTTCATTCCCAGCCAGTGTTGCCACTGCTGAATGCTGCTGTGCAGGGCGGCCAAAAGGGCATAGATGGGAGGAGATAGGCAGGTGGGAGGAGTTGCAGCACCCCTGTGGTCCTAAGTGCGGACAGGCTGCCAAGCACCTGAATTTTGATCACATGACCGGGGCGCTGCAACAGCCGTATCTTTGGGCATGGGTCATAAGTCCATATTTTCAGCACTGTCGTAATTTTGAATGGTCACTGAATGAATAGTCATTAAGTGAGAACTACCTGTAGATACACAATAAAAATTGTGTTCATTGCCCAACTTTCGACTTTGTCAAAATAAGTTGCCAAATTCAGCAGAAACCAATCCTGGAATGAAGGACTTGCACATGTACGTACGTGTATATGCACCAGCCAGAAGCCCTATTCTAAAAAACAGGGTCAGGGCAAAAAAGAAATTGAATTTATTTGAATTTATAACAAAACATTACAATTAATTGCCTGTAAAATAAATTTTAGATAGGTTCTTTATTACGGTCAATGACCAGTCCATAAAACATGTTGCCTGTAAAATAAAATGCCCCATTTATAAAATTACTTGGTTCTCTATTAGCATATTTCAGTCATTCCCACACAGAGGGGAAACATGCATTACCTCCTCTTTGTTAGCGTTAGGAAGTGAAGGAAAGAGAAAGTAATGCAAGAGGAAGTACTGCGCTGGATGCCAATGTGGTAATGAGAAGAGGTGATTGGAGGGAACCTGTTTTAGGGATGTAATGGTATGTGGGAACGACCTTGGCAGACAGGGTGAAGAGATGCAGAGCCAAGGAAACGGTCAGATAAAAGGCAAGTTAGTCTGCAGCAGGAATGTGGGAGGGGAAAAGTGGCTCAGAAGGGATCTTCCTTAGTTTCTTGGGCTATAAAACATATCGGGGGGGGGGAGGAAATGTTCTTTCAAACTTACAAGATTGATATTAGCTTGCGAGGTAGACCAGACAGGAAACATGGCCAGATGAGCTAATTCTACTTTATTGTAAGGTTACATTAACAGAATCTTGTAAGTCTGAAAGTACATTTCTTGAAGTATGAGGATGTACTCATAGATACTCTTTGAGGATCTAGTTATATACTTCTTGGAATTATTCAGGGTATTTTAATTAAAATATATTTGTTTTTCAGCAGGTGCTTTTTACCACTTGAAAGAGGAAATCTAAATAACTAGCCTAGCTTATTTTTTATAAGTACCGCCTTACACTTTATGTTAAGTTGTGCCCTTTTTTGTTTTTGTTTTGAAGCTGTGTAAAACTGGGTTAAAAAGACAAAGACAGGTACAGCAACTTTCTACGTAATGGTCACATGTTTTTATATTATCATGATGGAATGTCATGCTGGCTGTCTACACTAATGCACTTTGGGGGGGCGTGCTGTCTGTATCCTGCTTCTTAGATTTTGCATGGCAAATACTTAGCAGAATTCTACTCTCTCAGCATATTTGCGAAACACTAGCTGAAAAAGGAATGTTTGTATGATTGTAACTCTTGTTACCTCTAAGATCCACTTCCACTGCATTTTACTGCTTTTGTTTTTTTAAATGCTCTGGATTCCACTGAATCTCTGTCATTGTGTGTGTGTGTACATATGTGTACACACACACACACACACACATGCAAACACACTTGGAATTTTTTAAAAGTAAATTTTCCAGTTATCTTACATTGCATGAGGAAATTATTTTTGTCAGTTGTTATTAGCATCAGTATTCTGTTTTATATTTTCTTTTTTTTCTTTTTTTCTTACATGGTATAAATATTAGTGTGGTTAGAATACAGTTGAAAGCACAAAAACAGAATTCTAGATATGTTTGAAAAACATAGATGTGTGCAAAATGTTTGAAATTTGAAGTGTTTCAAGTTCAAAATTGAATGTTTTGACAATTTTCAAATTGACATGAGTTTGAAACAGCTGCTTTGCCTCTTTCAGACATCAAAAATGATGGAAACAGCCTGCTTTCAACTTAAAACAACTGTTTTAGACCAGAAGCAGGGCATTTCAAATCTGAAACAATTCAAATTAGATACACTCCTTAACAGAGATATAATTTGGACTTTATTTAATGTAGCTGTGCTAATACATCTAGCTTTATGAATGAATGCCTTATAAAAATAATGACTTCTGTAAAAAAACAAAGAAACTTTTTGAAATTGTGAACTGTATAGGTTGATTATGCAGGCCAGGTTGATTTCTGCTGCTACATATTGACCAATACATGTGGAAATCCTATAGCCTGTCCCTGTTTAACACACATGTGGAAGAGTTTTCTTTTATTCCATTGAAGTAGAACTTTATAAATGTCCAAATTAAAGCTGCCTGTCCATTGAAAACCATCTCCCCAAAGAGGAGATTTTAATTCCAAAACTTAGTATTAGTGGCATGTTCAGCCTTCTTTCTCCATCTGATGAGATTACCAATGCAAATAGACTGTGAAAAACGTATAGTATTTGACTATTAAAAAAACTGTTTTGTTAATGCTGCATTGATGATAACATGCATGAAACTGTCAACTTACTTTTAAATAAATAGTTATCTAGAGAATTGTAAATAATAATTGATATATGTTGCTCCTCGTGTTTTTGGAATTTGAAGTGATAAATGCAAAATCTTGTAGAATTATATTTTGGAATAGTATCCTAGAACCTAAAGTATATAGAAGTGGGCCACATTAGCCAGGCATTCTTGTTTTATGTCAATATACCCTTCAGCTTCTGAGAATCTTGAGCTTCATTATGGTTGAACAAGCATTTGTAGTAGTGCCCCCCCTTCTGCTTTTCTTTATCTCTTACTTGACTCAGACAGAGTTGTACACCATTCTTCACACTTTTTTCTAGATCCTGTTTTTGGTACTATAAGGTCAATTTCAATTACTTTGGGTCTTCAGTGAAATCTGCCAACTACTCTTGAAAATCAGATGCATATAACAGTCCCAAGAATGCATTCAGAGAAAATATGGGGTATCTGAGAATACAGTTTTCCCAGTAACAGCTTTTTATTCAAAATATTGAAAGGATTTATGAGTTCATGAGAGCAATAAGTTGGTTGTAAGTCAAAGGCTATTCTTTAATACTACTCTCCTTTAAAAGACTTTGTTTATTTGGAATATAGAGATGCATTTTAATAATGATCTCATATCAGGCAATCCCAGCCTGCCAGACTTTAGTGCTAAGTTTTTGAACATTTATTTTCCGTGCATATTGATGCACGATGAAAAACATTACATGCAGAATAAAAAT